CGTGCTCCAGTTCGGCTCACAAACAAAGAGGTTGATGTCACATCTTGCTCGTAGTAGTGAACCAAACTTTCAAGATCTTGGATTCTTTCGTCTTTGTCGTTCACCTGCTGTTGCAGCATCTGAACTCTGCAGTTCAAAAGGTGAATAGTTTGATCACGTCCACTTTCGGTTTGGGTTGATACATCTTCCAGCGCAGCTTGTTGATTCCATAGGAACGCAAAAGGTCTCATCAGTGACCAGAGCATTCTTGAGGTTTGAAACCTAGGTACAGCCATAGGTCTCGGCAGGGACCTTGTCATTCTTTCTAAGCACTGCCATGCCAGAAAAACTGTCGCCACAAACATGGTGAGGAAGGTAAAGATGAAAATGATGTTGTAGGATGAAAAAGAATCTTCGGCAAAATCATCTCCTCGTACTGGCTCAAGTTGATTTGTCAGCACTGCAAAACCAATGCCTTTCTGCAAACGACCAATCGCATTGCGTCTGGTTGAAGCTTGGCATCCAGCAAGGGTCTTCTTCTTCGCTGCTTGGAAGCTCTGGTCAGAGTGCAGGGAGAAGACATGGGACCGTAAGCGGTCTGCAAGCAATTGCCGTGCTGCAATTTTGGTAACACCATCTGCCAGTTGGGTCTCTGATGAAATCCATTTCAGCTTCGTTTTCATCTCATCCATTTTCTGTTTCACAACCATGACCTCAATCTTGGATCTTCGGTCGCCTTGCATCTGTGGAACTTCAGCTTTCAGGCTATCATAGAGCGCCTTCGCGTCGACCACCAAGGCTGACTGCATTTGGATGTCGTGGACGTCCAAGTGGCGCAAGTCAAAGCCAGGAGTCACACATCCATGCCAGAAGATCAGGAGATACTCAAGAGCATCCATGGCACCAGCGCATGCTTGTGCTTCAGAGTTGAGGCTACTGCGGCTGATTCTGGGGAGTTTGTAGCTTCGCCAGTCCAAAACAACGTAGGGTTGGTCCAATTGACCTTGCAGGGCTTTCACATTCATCAGCAAAACAAAGTAGCCGCCTTGGGACTCATGGTTCTTTCGGACGCCCCAGGCTGCATCACTCAAGGCTATCATGCATAGCTCATGTAGCTGGCCAAGGTCAGAAAATTGGAGTCCAACGTCGCTGTTGGCTTTGGCAAATCTAAGCAGCTTGTTTGCTTGGGTAGCTGTGGAAACTGTTGCGGCGCTCACTTCGCCACACAAAAGGCTCACGCTTGCACTGAGGTGAGGTGAAGTCTGGGTTGCTGGCCATTGAAGCGCTCCTAGAAGTCCACGGAGCATTGTCACTTCTTTGACAGTCAATTCACGATTCTCATCTGAATCGCTCAAGGTCAAAGGTTTGATCTTTTGGACGTACGCCTGTTGGCGCAAGAACCAGCCACCTTTTCCATCAGCCTCAAGGTCACAACCGCAAAACTGCAGTTGACCAGTTTCATTTCCTTCAGTCCAATGTTTGAAGTTGAAACTCTCATGAAGAGCCTGTTTTGCCTTCTGGTAGACTTCATCGGATTCAAGTCCAGCACCGATGAGATCATCGACATGAATGCCGATCATTGAAACCAACTGATCACCATGAAAAAGGCAATAAAGGCATTGATCTAGTGGATGTGGTTGGTATCCTGCAGCAATCAATCTTCTGCGGGCAACTTGAAACCATCTTCTTGGAGCATCGGCTTGCCCGTAAATGGGTTTGAGAAGTCGCATCAGTGTACCGGCTGGCACACCAATCAGCTGGCAAGCGTCTTTGGGAATTCTGGCCCACAAAATTCGCTTCTGTGGATCGCCTTGAAGAAAGGCTGTCGCAACATCAGAAATGAAAATAAGCCAGGATTTGCAAGTTGCAATGGCCAGGAGAATCTGCCGTGAGGATCGGCTCAAGGTAGGGGAAGATGTGTCAAGCTCTCCTCGTAGTAGATCTGGATCAGAAAATCCTTGAAGAACCAAACGTGCTTTTGCGCGTGGGTTGCCATTGTTGTCGGCAGACCACTTCAGCACAAACCGTGCTTTCATCACGCGGTTCCAATCGACCTTCTCAGGATGGAGCTCAATCTCCCAAACTTGATTCTCAAAAATGACGCCAACTCAGCTTTCTTGCCCTCGATGAACGCCAGGCGGTCTTCAAGACTCATTCGGCTTTCCTGCAGGTCAGCTGACTCCTTGACGTTCTTCTTCTTGGGCGCAGCTTGGGCAGACCAGATATGGCCACGGCTTCGGATGGTTTTGTTGTTGAACTTCTTGGACAGGTCGCCAACGTAGTTTTGGCCAAACTCAGCTGCAGCATCTTTGGTCAGTGGGTACAAGGTCTTTCCAAACCATGGTTCATCACCCACAGGGGCAGACTGCTCCTCGTTGACCAGGATGATGCGGCTGTTGCGTCTCATTGTCAGGCCATTTGTGGTCTGGAGCTTCTCGGCAGGCAAGGGAAAATCTGTTGTATGAAAAGTGCAATCCCTTGACCAAACATGGTTTCTAACCAAAAATCCATCTTCAAAGCTCCAAAAGTCTGCTGTGGAACCAAGGTAGATCTCATGGGTTTTCGGATCATAGTGCCATCCAGCTGGAAGGTTAGTTGAGCCTTCACAGCCATTTGGAAAGAGCTCCACAGCGATGTTGACCGATTCATGGTGCTTGGCACGCTTTGAATTGCCAGAGCTTTGAGGATCAGGGTGATCATGCACCATGGCCACAATGGAGATCGCATCCATGAAGTCTCACTTCGTTCATGTTGCCGTCGGCGTTCAGCAAAGGAAAGTCCAGGAAGTTGTGGAGGTGCCTCAGGCATTGAAGATTGGGTGATGGCGTTGTCAGCTGCAATGGTGGGCTGATCAGCCTCACTGTCATCACCATCAGGGATTGGAACATCTTGCGGAAGAGGTTCAGGCATAAGTCCAGCACCTGCCTCTCCGCTGGAGGATGCTGCTGCTGCTTCAGCTTGCTGTGAGGGTTGTGGCTCTTCAGAGTCGCGCAAATCCAGATCCAAGCGCCTTGACTCATCCGGTAAGTCCAAACCGGGATCCGTTGGCAAGTCCAAGCCAGAAGACGGATCAGCCACAGGTAGAGGTGGATCTTCAGCAGGATCTTTTGGCAAATCATCGATGGGTTCAGTTGGCTCATAGGAAAGTGATCGCACTGATTCAGGTCGTGCGGCCGGGGCATCTTGCTCACCTTGATCAGGAGGATGGTTGGTCTTGGCTTTCTTTGGAGAGGGCTCATCAAAAATCCCATCAGAGATCTCACCCTCAAGCTCCTCCAAGGTGTGCTTGTTGATGCGCCGCAAGTCGGCTGTTCGGACAACTCGACGTTGACGGAGACCAGCAATGGCTTGTTCAGCACGTTGAGCTCCATTGACAAGACCTTCTTGGCCAACAAGTCGTCGAACATGTTGACGTCCGGCACGGATGAGCACAGTGCCGTGGGCAATCCAATAGGTGTCAATGGTGCCAGTGTCTGGGTCTCGTTGGACAGCAACGACCGTGGCAGGGCCTTTCCACTGAACCGTGTGGAATCGATTGCCAACTTCTCGCCAGTAAAGGCATCGTTCACCTGGCTGTAGATCTTCATCAGCACCTGAAAAGCGTCGGAGTAGAGCACGTCGAAGTTTGACGTCAATCTCCGCAACAGCACATGCATTTTGGGCACTTGCTTTGAGTTCAAGTCGTCGCCGTAGTCGATCTTGTTCAGATTGTTGAAGTTGAATTGGACCAGTGCGCTCGTCAGAGATGAGTCCAGGCATATTTGGTTGTTTTCCCAGGGCAAGTTGCATAGGAGTAAATCCATTCACAAAGGTACATTGATTCAATGTGGGCACTGTCCAGTTAAAGGCCGTGTGAGGTCCATCAAGGCCACGCAGTCCATTTTCTGTCATGAAGATGGAGAGTGCTTTGCGAAGGAGTTGGTGTCTTCGCTCCACAATTGAAGTTCGTGAATGACTTTGCACAGGGGAAATCTTCATCTCTATGTCGTGGTCGCCAGACCATTGCATCATAGCGTCACTGCCCCATCCAGACCATTCATCAACGCTCAGCTGCTTCGGAGGGCCAAAGTAGCGAATCCATTCACGTTCAACTGCTTTCATGAGGGAGTTGCTTGATTCATCAGGAATGGATCGCACAGCCATGAAGCGAGTTGCAGAATCGACCATGACCAACATGCCAATCTTCCGCTTGGAAGCTTTGTCAGAAGGGGCATCAGGCTCAACTGAGCTCAAATCAAACCACAAGGTGTCGGCCTGAAGCTGCTCATTGAAGTCCATGGGACGCTCGGCATGAGCTGGAGCTGATTGTTTCCTGGAAGAAAACTTGTTGCAGTAGGGGCACTCAAGGGCTTCGGCTGCAGCGATGACCTTTGGGTCGGCATTCTTGGCCTGCAGCATGCGGACCAAAGTGTCCTTTCTCGGATGCCCAAGGTTTCGATGGAGGCGGTAGGCAATGCGCACCGCTTCAGAGCCATGCCTTGTGCCAAGTTTTCGAAGAACTCCAGTCAGCTCTTGAGCTTCGGCGTCTTGTTGAACAGCATAGGCCTGTTCCGACAAACCCTCATCTTCAAGAAGGGCACGAGCTAAATTCCAGGCAAGCTCGCATTGGTAATTCTCAGCCTTCTTGCAACGGCTTCCACCTTCAAGTCGGGCATGTTGATGGTTGCCTGAGCATCGTTTGGACATGATGCGACACATCGCACGTTTTGTGGTCTGAATGGAGATGGTTTTCATGATTGGTACTTCATCATCATCAACTGTGGTAGTGGAGCCATATTCACATTGATCAAAAGTTGTGCGTTCACCTGGAAGTTTGGCAAAGGCTGGTGTTTCCCAGGCAGCACTGCGGTGTGGATGTTCAATGTGTGCATGAGCTCCACGTTTCACCTGAAACCAGTACAGCTTCTTGCAAAACTTCAGATGGATCTCATGGTCGAAGTCACGACGCTCCCAAAGTTCGTCCCAATCAGCTTCACAACGCATGTTGATGGCCTGCATGGGAGACCAAAGTGTGCACTTGGGAGACATGTAGATCTCATCCGGCTCAAGCTCATAAGCCAGTTCCATCAAACGTTTTCGATGTGCTAATTTGGAGAAGTCCCATCCATTGTTGAGTCCAAAACGCATCACATCGGCACCAAGGCGTTCAGCTTGTTCGCCTAAAAGGCCAGTGCCACTGTAGACTTCCCAAATGAGCTTCTTTCGTGGGTGAGGTTGGCATCGAGCTTCATAGGCAAGTTGGGCTGCTTTCTTGGAGGTTTCAACCAGTTGACCCTGAATCCATGACCAGGTCTTCGACATTGAGCATTGAGTGCGTTCAGTCAGCTCATGGGCATGAAAGTGCTCCTCAGGAATCTGCTCATCCACATTCACATAGGTCTCAACATCAACAAACTCATTCTCAGAGGCGTCGTCGGTGAATTGGACCTCGGAGATCATTTCCTCATAGCGCTCGGCAGCACGTAGATCTTGAAGAAAATCTTGCAGAGAGCATGCATCATCGTGATCATCATCCTTGGCTCTGAGGTCGAACTGCGGGTTCTCAAAGTCCTCGATGGAGTTGAAGGTTGCAGCAAGTCGCAGAAGCATCGCATCTTGCTTGCCACGTTCGATCTCGGTCCATCGGCCACCAAGGATGCGCATCTTGCCACTTCCAAAATCCACTACAGCACCAAGTTGTTCAAGAACTGGGCGTCCAAGCAACATTGGGGTGGCTCCGAACACGATGAAGCACTGCATTCGACCTGAAATGTTGGCGAAGTGCACGGGCAACTCAACCATCCAGCGGGCATGTCCATCAGCATCGCCGCCAAAACGAAAAGTTTTGTTGCACTTCTTGAAGGAGATGGTGTTCATGGGGTATCCCTGAACTTCCAACCATTTCAGATAGCGCAAGATGTACTCACTGCCAGCAAGGAAAGAAGAGGCTCCTTGGTCTTGAATGCACATGTCGGGCTCCTTTGTCACCCATCCACCAGCACGCACCACAGATTCGCCTTGCATGTAGGTCTCCTCAATCTCATGGAACTCATCGCCAGAAGCTCGGAAGACCATGTTCACCATCGGGTCAAGGTCAATGGGGCGCTTCTTTGCAGGAGAAGAGGCACCAGAGGCAGCAGCAGAAGAGCTCTTGCAGTTTGCAGCTTTGTGGCCAGTCTTGCCACATCTCAAACAAACTAGATCCCCCGCTATGGCTTTTCCTCTAGCTTTGATACCCTTTCCCTTTGGTGGATATGGTGATTGTTTGGATCCCTTCTTACTTTGGCCTTTAGACTTTGAACTACCCCCACCTTGAGACATGCTGGAACCCTTGCCGTCCACCAGTGCCACAACCGGGTAGAAGCCACGGCTTTGGCGCAACTGTGCAAGTCGGCTCTTGGCATCGGCATATGCAGAGTAGACGGAATCGAACTCCTCCACATCGAAGAGCGACTCGTCTTCGACGGCAGCTTCGCTCGGATTCCACTCAAAGGCAGTGGGAGACCAGTCAACTTGTGAACCAAAGTATGTTTCATCCCATTCTTCATCACATTCATAGTATTGATCATCATCATTTTCGTAGTAGGTATCCATGTAGTTTTCATTCCAATCATCTTGAAACTCATGTTCATCATCTTCTGCATGGTGCACATTGGAACGACCCTTCCCTTTGGGGAATGACTTTCCACGGTGACTTTGATGATTGGATTGCTTGAAGTCTTGACCAAAAACCAGAAAAAGGCTTTGCTCCACGTTTCCCAGTGTCAACGTTTTGCCAACCTGGGACTGCACAAGGTGTTGTTGGTCCTTGGTCAAGGCTGCTCTGCGCAACATGAGCCATCCAGTGATTTCCTCAGGAAGATCAACCTTCAGTCTCTGAACATCGCGTAGGGCTTGGTGAAAATCAGTCACATAGTCCAAAAGTGATTGGTTGGGCTTTCGCTGAACCTTGAAGAAGAAGGTGTCAAATATGGATCCCAGCTCAACCCTTTCATCATATTTCCATTTCGAATCCAACCGTCGCAGCAACACATCTAGGCCGTTTTCGGCTTCCAGTTCCTTGAGGTCTATGTCTTCACATTGCGTCCAACTGGAACCTTCAAGTACTGCCAAAACATTCATGGCAACTTCTTTTGAACGACCTTGCAGCTCAAGCCTACGGGCATACAGTTGAACCCTTTTCCGCCACTCCTTGTAGCCGCTGATGGTATTGTCAAACCTCGGCACGAAGGAGTCCTTGACATATGGAGAAGTTTCGGTTGGGGAGGTAGGAGATGATCCAGCACCGCCGCCAGCAGCTCTTCTCGCCGGAGAAGTCGACATGGCAGCGCGGGCTGGAGCCGGATCTTTGCCGGCTCCGCTACCAATGCGAAGATATGGAAAGATATCTTGTTGTGTTATGCCGCTCTAAGTGCAAACACGAAATGCAAAGCAGGAGTGCTATCTGTTTTACCATGCGTAGCTTCGAATGCTAGGCTCAAAAGAGGGCCCTCTGGAATCGTTGTCCAGAGGCAAGACACGTAAAAGCCAAAGAGGCCGCGTCGAGAACGCCCAATGTGGTTCTGCAGCTGCATGTGGTGGTTCCAACCTGGCAAAGTGGTGAATGGATCAGTTTGGTGGCACCAAACTCACAATTATTTTTATTGGCATGACAATGGGGATTTATTTGTGGGAATTTCTCGGGATCTTATGGAGTTTTTTAGGCGCTTCATCGGGATAAGATGAAGATAGCTATGGAGAAAGAAAAAAATGGAGATCACAAAAGGCACGATTTTTGAATACCATAATGGTTCGAAATAAATACTCAAAGGATTCCGTTCTCAATCATGCTGTCCTCCTTTCATAGATTCCTTTACCTCTTGAAAAGAACTTTGCATAGCTGTAAGTCTTTTTGAAAATAACCTTATAACTTATATTCCTTTCAAAGAAGTGCTGCACTCCTTTATATAAGGGGACTGTACAAAATGATCCCGCTTTATGCAATGAATGTAATCTTTGAAACATATTGCTGCGCAGGGCATACATTGGAGGATTTGGCTTTGAAAAACACTTCACAGTCCATGCTGAAAGTTGAATATTTTTAGGTTGTAGCTGTGTTGTATTTCTTCCCATGGTTTGAAGTAAGTTTCTGGGCGATGAACCAATCTGCACATGATATGTCGAAAACTTTGCAAACCTTGCAAGTTTCCTGGATTCAAGATCTAAGGTATACCTACCCCTCTGAAAAATATGAGTTCGTCAGTTGGGATGATGAAATTTCCAATATATGGGAAAATAAAAAACATTTGGTGTTTAGACAAAAAACACGTATCTGTATATATATATATATCTATACATATATGTATGTATGCATATATATATATATATGTTTATATCTATACATGTATGTATGTGTGTATGTAGGTATGTATGAATGAACGAATCAATGTATGTATGTATGTATGTATGTATGTATATGTATGTATGTATGTATGTATGTATGTATGTATGTATGTATGTATGTATGTATGATTATGTATGTATGTAGGTAGGTATGTAGGTATGTAGGTATGCAGGTATGTAGGTATGTAGGTAGGTAGGTAGGTATGTAGGTATGTATGTTATGTATGTATGTTATGTATGTTATGTTCTGTTCTGTTATGTTCTGTTGTGTTGTGTTATGTTTTGTTATGTTTTGTTCTGTTATGGTAGGGTATGGTATGTATGTATGTATGTATGATACCCCCGTCGAAACTACTGCCCCATCTATTTGAGAAAAGCGCCTTGACACATATTGCCCAAACTATGCCAAACAACACCGTAAATACCAGAAACGGTGGTAAACAGTAATATATATATATATATATAGTATTCATGGCGTTTATAAATCAACAAACGTACCTGGGGGTCCTCACCTTGTACAATGTCAGTGAGTCGGGATTCAACAAATATGGGGTATAAAAGGGATACTATAGGGATACCATGGGAATTTCATGGGGATATAATGGGAATATCATTGGTAATTTCAGGATCCTAAATTGGAGGTACTGTACCATATAAGGCCATATTTTGGGGGTATATCCCCTTACATAGCCCTTACATAGGCCTTATATATGTTAGGTACCATTGAGAATATGGGATATCACATTGGGATATGAGGATCAGCAAACACAATATGAAGCCTGAAACAAGGCCACCCCCTGTTCGATGAGCGCCATCCGACGCCGCAGTGGTCATAATCTATCCGGAATGGTATACAATGGTACATACACCAGGGGGATATACGTGGAATATTTTGGGGAACATCTTGGGATATCATCTACAGGGATTTATAGGGTTGTTCTTAATAGCAGTACCTGTTGATATACATGATATATCAGCCAACTTATCCATATGAGTATGCTTGCTTCCATCTGATTCATTTATGTTCTTCCATTTTACAATCATTTACTAGCTATGGAAAATCACTATTTCTAAAACATAATTTATCATAAAACATCTATAAATGGTGTTAATAGGTCAATCAACATAGAATTCTATGGAAACATCTATGAAATCAGCACCTTATCCATAGCTGCCATAGCTATGTTACATAACCAGAACTGCCAGAGGCTACACATCTTTCCCCGTCCTATCGGCTCCATCGCCCAGGGACACCGCGACGCAGCTGCCGTAGTGGTTCTGTCGAGCGCGGCCCGCATCGACACCGACGCAGTTCTGGAAGACAATGTTCCTGCAATGGCAGCCATGCTGCAGGCAATGGCCATGGTGATATGGTGATTGAATGGGACCTTTTTTGTTCAAGGTTTGGGCCCAAATGATGGTGATTTTTCATGGACATCACCATGATTAACCACAAGCTTTGGCTACATGATAGCTAAGTTGGTGCAAATAACTGCAAATAACTCTGGTTCATGGTGGATAGCATAACTGGGGCTTTATTAAAAAAAAGTCCCAACATCACCCGCAGGGCCCGTTTTCGATGCATCGCGTTTGGACTCGTTGGACACGTTTTGAGAAGCGATGGGTTGTGACTTTCTCTACTCGGTGGCGAACTACCCACGGCGAGTTTAAGTGGGTTATAACCCCAGTTATAAATGGGATAAGTAGGGTTAATCCACTTATAACTGGGGTGAACTAACCCACTTACTAAGTGGGATGAGCCACCAAGTATGGTATTGTCATGATTCATGATGATGGCTAGCAAACATAAGGGAATATGAAGTAACTTGTTACACCAATGGTCCTGAAGATAGACTTTCTAACAAAACCTGTGCAATTTAGCAGGAAAGATGTGTTGAATAGAAATAGGGATGTAAAGATAGCCATGCTCCCCAGATTGCTTGGGGTATGGATGCATGGTAGACACCTTCCGGGCAGGGAAGTCAAAATGAACGCCCGAACTTACATGATTCTCCATGCAAAATCATGCGAGATATCCTCGATCGCCAGAAATTCTGACCAGTCTCGGAGATGGACTTCCTCTCCAGTTAGCCCGTCGTGATGTCGTCAGGCATTGTGCCATATCCATATACCAAGGTTTTTACAAAACTATATCAAACATCTTGACATTGCGAACTGAAATAAATATAGAATTATATAGCTATGTAATCTACTCGTCAATGCCATACCCCAAAGATCGCATGTTTTCTTCATGTTCCCTGTTCAAAATTCTGAAGTGGCTATCTTGGGGGTTATACCCCATCTTCAGACAAAGCCATATCATATTCTTGCTTCTATATCACATGAATCTGGGCAAATTATAATATTTCACTAATCTGAATTAAGGCCATTTGGGGATGATTTCCCTTACTAACTATGATTTCCAGTGAGGTCGCAGTGAGGTCGTTATAATTTACCCAGAAATATACCATTAGTTTCCCATTCTATCACCAATTGGAGGTTTCCCAAAATCATCCAAGTCATGGAGGGAAACCCCATGACTTCGTATAGGTCAACAACCAGGCTTTTACGATGGGATCCCCCCATGATTTTTCAGGTTTCGCCCCATGAAAAACATGGTTTCTTTACATGGTCAATCTTTGCTAGTCCATGAAAAATGTAATCTTTTGTTGCTTGGGTGATCAATTCCATCAGCAAGAAACTATCCAGGATTAGTTTCTATCTATCCAGATGGTTGCGCCCCAGTTCTAAGTTGGTTTATAAACAATGAAACAAGCTCCACAAAAACCTCCATGAACTAGTTCGTTATTCCAACCATAAACCCAATCGTTCATTCAGCCACCACCATGGCAACCTGGCACGCTATCAAACAACAACCCCATCCTGGTTTTTATGGGTACTAGTCTCCATCACAAAGCCAGCGGCCCGCTGGGCCTTGTGTCGAAATGACTGCCCCACACTGCGTAGATATCATCGCCAGTGTTTTGGATGTAGGCTGGGCGGAAGGACTTCATCGAAAAAGCTGCTTGAACGGGTTAAGAATAACATATTCATAATCCCCAATCTATTGAATTGCTGAATAGTGTAACAGTATAACACATTACTGGATGGTGCCCCCCAGTGATGTGAATGTTGGTTTATAAACCCCATTAATCTATAGTTATAGACTTTTCATAACTGATAATGTTAGTTTATCTACCATAAACCATAGATAACTACCATAGATTAATTAATCTATCCCATTGTATCTACCATAAACCATAGATTCTCAGCCATTTATAAGGCAAGGGAACGCGAACTCGGGGCCACTGTCCTGAACCATCAATGAGGCCAATGGGAATTTCAGGATCCAATACATGGAGGTACAATAGTACCATATTTTTGACAATATTTTCTGGGGATATTCCTTGAAATTTATATAATATAGGCCTAAAACATAGGCCAAAAAGTATATAGTAGCTACCTCCAATAAATCGGTTCTTGAAATGGCCATTGATATTCAGTATGGTAGGTACCTCCAATAAATCGGTTCCTGAAATGGCCACATATATCCAGAGCTTCCATAGGAAATACACACCATTATCAATTCCCTGTTGTCCCGTTCAATTGAATTGCCTATTGTCTTCCATATTGGTACTTTCCCTGAAATGGCCATTGAATGCCATTGATAATTGTACTGATTGACTGCTGATTGACTGGAATTTTTCCCTTAAATCAACCCATTGAGTGTAACAGGGGTCTTGCACATTACTCATATTGAGAAGATAAAGATGGGATATGACTTCTCACATGCGGCTGCAGGGTCCAGTGATCTGTCTTCATGTTTTTTTCATTTTGATGATGCAAAAAACTAAAGGTTGTTTGGGTACCATGACATACCCATATTTAGAAATTTGAGAGATCAGATATGATCAGATTGCAGTCTACATGTCTATCATTATCTACCCTTCTACTGTACTAATCACTTTCAGATTTTTTTGAAATTTCAGCAGCCGACAACAGACAGAAGCTGCCCAGGGACAATCATCCACCATAGCGTCCTGCACAAAACCGTGGAAATTGATGCCATCCGCATGCAGAAACCTGAAGGAAGTCGCAGCTGCGTGGTCAACTTGGAGAAAGATGGATGGGAAAGTCAAACTTGGTCTTATTCAGATGGAAAACGGGAGTCAAACAGGGAAGAATCATCCAACAAATGGATGGAAAGCAAACGTAATTGAGACAACCAAATAATTTTTCGATCATCCTGAAGTAGATAGAATATCAAAAAATCAAACACCTTGCCATTTTTGGAACATTTGAAATATCAATGTTTTACTCCAGGATGACTATCGTTGAAACCATGGATGTTGCATGGTTGTCTCGGCCTCCTGTGACCTGAGCTAGGCCGAACAGCATGCCTTTTTCAACATGCCAGATTCAGAATGTCAGAACAATAGCACATACATACATATATAATTTAGCTAAACTCAAAAACTCGCTGCCGTGGATATGTTGAAAACCGCACGAAGAGTTAGCGGGGGGGCGAACGTAGGGGCGAACATGCGGGCGAACGGGTGGACGAACGTCGCCCGCACGAGCGAGCGGGGGGGCGAGCGGGGGGGCGAGCGGACGGGCGAACGATTCGACTAGTCTTGTTTTGCCTGGTGATAATTAGTACAGTCAACCTGTGCCGAAATTATTTTACACCTACTTATACAACCCAAGAATACTGGTACAAAGTTGTTGGTATTCGAAACCCGTGCAATTTTGAGGGCGGGCCCACCCCCTTGAGGGCGCATTAAGGGGTCGCACGAAGGGGTCGCACATACGCATGTACGCACGTACGTACGCATGCACGCACGCACGTTCATGTGCATGTACGCACGCACGTTCACATGCATGTTCAGAAATAACCTTTAAGGTTACCTTTTATATAAAAGGTAACCTTATTTCTGTACGACCCTAAGCCTCCTAAAGCATATTTAGTATTAGGAGGTCACTTTTCAAAGGTAACCTTATTTCTGAACATGGGTCTGAACATGGGCTTGAACATGGGTCTGAACATGGTACCTACGTACGTGCATACGTGCGAACGTACGTGCGTACGTCTGTGCGTACGTATGTTCGTACGTGTGTGCATGTGTGCGTTCGCCCCCCCGTTCGCCCCCCGGTTCGTCCCCCCGTTCGCCCCCCCGTTCCCCCCCCGTTCGCCCGCCGTACCCTCGCTCAGATGGCCGTACGCCCCCCCACGTTCAATACGTCTAAATAACTTCAAAAACAGGCCGCAGCGACCTTTTGGGTTTAGCTAATATATAATCATATATATATAAACACATATACATATATACATATACATACTATATGAACATATTTAAATATATTTATATCAAATAGCATGTCACAAAAAAAATGTCTGAATATAGGTCAGATAGCATCAGTTGGCGGGGAGCACGAGACTCAGAGAGTAATTTGCTGAAAGCAACTCATTAACCTGACAATAACCTATCCCATTATCATTAACCCTTGATTCATTAATTGGTGGCGGATTCTTTCACCAAGATCGTCAGTGGCCCTGCTTTTGAGAAGGCGTTGCAAGATCTCTGTATCGCTGCTGGTGAGAGTAAGGTGCCGTGTGGTGGAGGTGGAGTAAAACAAGATCCAGTAAATGCAAAAGTGGTGATAATGGTGGGTGCAACGCTGATGTCCGGCGCTGCTGCAACCAGTGAGGATGCGGGTGAAGACCAGCTGTCCTGGTTTTGGACCATTGGCCTAATCCTGATGTGCGTGGGAGCGGTCTATGTGAGTGACAAGATGGTCCGAAGTGGCATGTGGCTCTATAGAAGACTGTTGGGGACATCAGGCAGCCAAGTGGATGCAAAGATCAAAGGGCAACAGTCGACACCTCAACTCAACATGTTGCACTGGAGTAGCAGTGAAGAAGAAAGTGAGAGACGTGTGGCCGAGAATATCGAGCGAGCCAACTATGTGCCTACAGCAGATGTTGATGAACTTCGTGCCATGGTGTCTCAGAGTCGGGGAATCCAAGAGGATCCCCACAACAAGATGCATGGAAGAACTCCAGAGGTGTATGAAAATGAGTCGTCTCAGTTGCCGAGGCGTCGAAAAAAGAAAGTTGAGAAGAAACGACTGGATTCAGATGAGGAAGAAGCAGCTGTAGAGAAGACCAGACATGAAATGATGAGTTTGCTTGGAAACTTGTCTGGAGGGCCATTTTCACGGCGGAGGTCGACATGATCGGGCTCTAAGCAAGCCGCAGCATCCTCTTCTTCTAATGCGATGATTTCTGGCTACGGTGAGCCGCATGAAGATGCAACTTTTTCACGACAGAGCTCTTCACGTTCGGGCTCTGGCATGGTGACATCATCCCAGCAGAGCGCATCACAATCGAGCTGTGGTGTTGCGACTTCATCAAACCAGCGATCTTCACAGTCGGGCAAGGGCAGTGCGGTGGGGGTAGCTTCTGCGAGTGAGAGTCGTGGCATTGAATCCACGAATCCGTGGAACCAGTTTCAACATCAATATAGCGGCCGAAATTGGGGCAATTGCTAAAGTAGCATCCAGTGTAGAGATATTTGAATGCCTTGTGCCAAGTATTCCATTTTGGAATTGTGTTTTTTCCCCGGGAAAAGGGGGAGTCTGGATGAAAAAGCAGGATTGTCTGCTATGATTCAAGTGTAGTATCTGATCTCATCACCTGTCAGGCATTTCAATTCGAGACAAAAGGCCGTTGCCTTGCCCATTGGATTTGAAACTGTAAACTAGCAACAGCTAATCAATTCACCAGTTTTAAGATGTAATTCATCTACAATGTGGGGCCCCCCAGTTATAAGTTGGTTTATAAACCCCAGTAGCTGTAGTTACAAGTACCACAACCCATAGTTACTAGAGTTATGTGAACCCCAACTTAGCGATTTCGTTTAAGGGGGCCCCACTTTGTATGAATGGGCTATTTCGATACCAGTCTTACCATCGAAAGCCAGTCACCTTTCTCCATCAACCAGCGATTTCTCAAAAGACAGGTAGAGTCTATGCCCCCGTTTTCAAACGATTAAGTGTGGCACTATGTTTTGGAATGACCGTTTGTGTTTACAAATAGAAAATATGTTTTGGAGACCAAGAGAAATATGGGATAGCAATATATATATATATACATATATATATATGGGATGGAATACCCTCTGGTAAACTAACATAGCTATTGAAAATGGCCATATTTATAGTGGATTTACCCATTAATAGCATGGCGGATCTTTCCATAGTTACGGCTATTCCATCCCTTGATCCCAAGACCAACTAGATGAACCACCGTTTTCAAGTGGTATGAATGGCTTAGCTACACCTCACCTAGCTTTCCGTCCCAAAAAAACATGGTACCATCACCATTACAATCATTACAACCTCAAAAGTTGATTTCAAGTGGCGATCTAAGCGCTTTTTTAGGCCCACTTTTCATTTAAACCCACAATGATCCAGGAGTCATTGCCAATCTAGATACCCTGCAAAAAATGACAAATTCTTTGCTGGTGAACGTAGATATTCGCATTGATACCAAAAGACTAGTTAGGATTAGTAGGTACCCATGTAAGATTGATCCAGGAATATCCACATCCAACGAGATCCACCTTGATCCAGGGCGCATGGCGACCAGATTTTTCACCACAACATCACGAGTGGGTGTCCCAGTGTCTGTCGTCTGTGCCACCCACACTGCCAGCTGACTGGCCAAATTGGGGTCACCCGCATAATCCTGAGCGTGGCGGGTTGATGAATGTATTATGTTATGGTATGTCTTTGATATACCCTCTGGTTATTTAACATAGACATGGAAAATCCATTATAAATGGAGGTTTTAATGGTAAAATAATCTATAAATGGCTGGTTATTTAACATAGCCATGGAAAATCCCTTATAAATGGAGGTATGAATGGGAGAATCATCTATAAATGGGTCATTTTCCATGGCTATGTTGAATATCCAAAAGGTTTATCAACTATTTAAAAAAAACATGGGGATGTAAATACATGGCTTTCACACTATACATATATTTACTTATCTATTTATTGATACAAATGTGTACACAATGAAATGTCATATGCATAGATAAATTTGTACATTGTAAGTATGTGTATATTTCAAAGCAATGGTATAAGATTGTTGATGAGGTTCATTGAGGCTTGGTTTCGGTTTTGTCTAGTGTCTAGGGTTGGTTTAAAACACGTTAAAACCAATTTACGGTTGGTTGAACATCTAGTTGTTAGCTAAAGGGTTGCTTTTGGATGTATTTTCGCGTTTGTTTCAGATTTATTTAAGGCCAGGTCAGGGTCTATTTAAAACTTGGTTCATAAATGGATGGTGTAGGGTTTATTGTCACGGATGGTTCAGGCTCGCAAAAAGATAGCCGAGTAGTGTTTTAATATAGGAATATAAGAAACCCCGTTGAACTATGGTAGAAGTACCCAAAAGAAGGATAGTGCAAACAACAATAAGAATCAACAAATGAAAGTCCTACCCCCAAAAAAGGGTTTTGAATCCGAAGAATGATGGGCCAATGGTTTTTCCTAGCTGTGTTCCAGCCAGAGTAGGATGACTTGGATGCACAAAAAAAAAATCGGACCCATCCAATGCAACCGAGAATCGTTCATTCGCACATTCTCAATTCTCACATTGCTCACGGGCCTTCCATCGCCCGTCTTCAAATGTGGGAACAAACCTGGCGTTGTGGGAACTTGGCCCCACTTGGTTGGCCACTTTCTCGCCACTTAGAACATGGCTACTGTGGTAAGCCGTTTCAAAGTGCTTGTTGTAGCCTTTGGATCATCATCCCACCTTATCTTAGCTGAAACAACTAATGGAAGATAGTGGAGGTACCATCCCCAATGGCCCAAGTCACCATGGCTTTCAATACCTGGTTGGTGGTTTCAACCAACCCCTCTGAAAAATGATGGAGTTCGTCAGTTGGGATGATGAAATTCCCAATACATGGAAAAAACATGTTCCAAACCACCAACCAGATGATGATTTGGGGATACCACCATTTTAGGAAACTTGATGATTCTTGGTTTTCAGAAAGCCATCAGTTTCGCCACCCTCCCAATGAGACTCGACGAGGAGCACTGGTTGTGAACGCAGCCAGGCGTCTCAAAAACGGCACCACCACATAATGCTCCATTGTCTGAGGGGCGCAGGGTGTCCTTCGGAGGCAGGATGAATTGCCACATTTTTTCGGATGATCCTTTGGGACCAGCTGCAATTTTTGATGTGAAAACCGTAGGTATTGGGGGGTTGATGTGTCTTGATCCATAGCAACGCAAGGAATTTGAGTGGATTATGTGAATTCGGTGCTCATTCCAGGAGACACACAGAAGGTTTAAGCCCCAAGTCACACAAAAAAAACAATCTAGAAATGACTCAGAGCTTCAACCATTTCCAAAAGACCCTCCAAATCATATTAAAGTGCAGTATTAACTATTAACTATTAATATTACTTAATTAGTAATCATCCCCTTCAATCATATGAAAGACCACCTCCAAATCATGGTCTAGGGACCAATGGGGCTGTTCAATATTCGACCGATTTGCTTCACCTGGCCCCAGACAGAATTCCCCCTTGCTACTAGATTCGTCGTGGAAACAAGATCCACACGACAACAATTAAACTCTGGTAAACAGCCACATAACTATGGAAAATCACCATTTTGAATGGATAAACCAACTATAAATGGCAATTTTCAAAAGCTATGTCAGCTATGTTAAATTACCAGAGGGTAAACGCATGTGTCGGTCTGAAAATACGCCAAAAATTCCACAGTTCATTCATCATTTCTGCTATGAAAAATGGCCAAACATTTGGAATATACAGGGCTATATCACTCTTTTTGACGCGCCCACATATTAAACACCCAGCAACCTGCTTGAGGGTGCAGTTCCACATGTTCCACTAAGTGGGTCAAATTTCACCATAGTTGTAGCGATCGTGTCCCAACTTATGGTGGTGAAAAAATCCCAAAGTTATACCCATAACTCATAACCATAAAACAGTTGTATCCCATAGGGCCTATAGGGAACTCACCAACTATAATTATGACTGATAAAAACCTTCGTATGGAATATAACAGTTATGGTTTATGATGGTTTATGGGATATAGATGGATATAGTATCTATGGAGTGCATAAACCATCATAAATCATCATAAACCAACAGATATATCACTGGGATTCACTGCCTCACTGCCGGAAGCTACTTTGCCGTTGGTCCGTTGGTCCTTGCCCTGGTAGGCAATGTTTTTCACCTTGGTGTTGGAATACATCAGGAATCCAGGCCGCAATCGCTGCACCTGCTCGTTCGTCAAGTCCGTACCTCACCAAACATTTCCGCAGCGTTGGGGATACAACAACTTGGGAATATCTTGGGACTTTGAAAGATGAGGTACCCTCCGATAATATATCAACAATTGAAATGACGTGACTCATCCTCTTGAAATGGTTCTGTTTTGTTTTTTATCGATTAAGATACCCTCTCGTAAACTAACATAGCGAAGTGGAAAATCACCATGCTATTAATGGGAACATCAACTATAAATCTATGGCCATGGCTTCAAGTTCGCAAACTGTTACTTGGTGGCTCATCCCACGGCTCGTAAGTAGGTTATAACCCCAGTGATTTACATGGGATTTTTGGAGCGGGTTACTCCACTCAAAAAACTGGGGTGAACTAAGCCACAAGCCCACGATGAACGTGGGTAGTTCGCCACCAAGTTTACCGGTAAACAATCCATGGGACATGACCCGAGCCCTAATTAATTGGTACCGTGGTACCGGAAAAAATGGGTGAAAACATCACTGGAACTCAGTGGTAGAATCCTGGAATTGGCATGATCCACTTCTATAATATATATATATATTTATACCGTGTAGATATGTATATATATAATTGTATGTAATTAATTATATACTGTAATATAATATATGTATATATATATAGTATATGCACAGAAATTAGCTACATCTCAGCATCTCTATATGAATGCATTTATACTATATTTGCAAACGAGACTTTCGCGGCTTTTGTCTCTGACCGAGCTACAGTGGTATGGATTGCGCGGCGACAAAGGCTCCCAACTTCGTTCCAAGTTTTGACAATAGCCTGAGGATCAGGACATATCGAAGCTGAATCTACAACCATAGAAGCAACTCCCACGTTGAGAAAAGTGAAGTCCTCCTAAAGTGGTCATGACTTTCTCTTCTATCTGTTGGGGGTGTATAGTCTCAAATGAAACGCATGGATGAAACAAATATGGGGGTTTCTTCAAATGGATCCCCAAGTCACCATGGGTTTCAATACTGACATGATCTAGTTTTTGATGATTTGATTTTAGGAAACTATCACAATATGAAAAAACATTACTCATGAGAGATGATACAGGCGGCCCCCGGTTAGATCGCTTAAATTCCTGTGAGAACGTAGTGGTAGTGGTGCAAGGTCATAACCATACGGACCATACCCATAAAATGACTCGCCTGCTCTGTCATGCAACTATGCTCATGACAAGGGAATGGCCAACAAAATCTACTCCGCCAAACTAAGTATACTAAGTCGAACCATTTCAAACAGGTTTCCTCGCACTGCATGTCAGCTTTGGGCCCCGAAAGTAGCCTGCTTGGTACTTTCAAACCCAAAAAACAGCCGTGACTTGCCAGTCCTCATCCACCTGTGAGACCGTCGCCATCATTTCCAAGGGGCAAATGTTGTGATCCGAAACTCCCACGGTCGCCTCGAAAACGGTCTGACCTGGAGAGCAACCGCGACGCGACGCTGGGGATGTGGTAATAAACCAAGCTGTAATGAGGTAATTTTGGGGTTCTCTGAGAGTACGTAAGCTTCATGATCCTAAAAGGCCTTTATGTACATTGTGGTCACCTTTAGAATCACCCCCCCTTGGAGATCATAACACGATGGGCCAGAAGTAGTCCAAGCCTTTTTCAGCCTCAATCCCTTTGGACCCGAACATTTTTCAGAAGTCAGTCTGGTGCGTTCAAACCGCTTTTCAAACATGCGTATCATTTGGACTCAGTGTCAAAGTCGCAGGGATTGAAAAGGAAACACTTGGTGCTTCTGTAGCGGTTGCTCAGATTCTCCAGTGCCATGATTACTAGAGGCTCCGTCCCCGAAACAAACAGACCCAATCCTAAACCAAGTTGTGTCCTTTGTGGCGATACTCAACATTAGCCGGCCGGGATCAATGAGACTAATGCCAACCGTGAACCGGCAGGGATTTTTTAATAAATCCGCGCTGCAAAAAATTGGGGATGTACCGTTGAGTAGCAAATTCTCACTGTTTGGTTGTACCATTACTTTTCCTTTACATTAAAACCTGGATTTTTTCAACAGCCCGGTCCACATTTGGAAATGGGTCAAGTCTCATCTACAAAAAAATATAGAAATCATATGGTCCTTAAAAACAGATTCCTTTTGTTAATAATTTTCCAGCGCGGGTCTCTTTACATCTACAGTACACAAGGGATACTCCTTACCTCATGTTCAACCCCAAACTGATCCGATTAAAAATTCTACTTTGTATTCATGTCCAGTAAAAAAATATATACATAGTTTCAAGATATACCATTCCTCATATGATTCATCTTTTGGGGAATCATAGATCCAGTGTTCTTTGATGGCAAAACTGGTCGGATATCATGGGTCCATAATGTTCCATGAGATGGCACCAGCACTCATGAATTTTAACGCTGCGCCAACATGGAACTCATCTTGTTTTATTCATGGCCTTATTTTTGCAACATATCAGCATGAGGTTTCGGGAGAGTTTTAATCATTACCATGATCAGTGAAATATGAACTATAAACCATCCTACAAAGTGGCCCCCAAACGATAGCTAAGTTGGTGAACATAACTCCAATTTCACTATAGTTTATGGTACTTATAACTTATAACTACAGTTATTGAGGCTCATAAACCAACAAACATCACGTTTGGGGGCCCCACATTGTATCTCTGGGGGATCCCATCTTCAGATGACACCGGAGGGTACCGAGCCCCAAACACCATCCTGGAGGCTTTCTATGGGGGAACCCCCAGATCATCCATTTCAATGGTTTTTTTTCATCATAAAACATCCATTTTGGTGTTCCAGTTCCAAGATTGATATAACCATAGTTATAGATAGACTTTCAGAAAGCCATTGTTATACACAAAAATAAGTAACCTCTCGCCTGCCCTCTGCTAATCTGACATAACTGTTGAACATTACCACTTTTCATAGGTAAATCGCAAACTGTTCAATTACCAGAGGGTAAAAGACATCCATGGCTTGAAATGGCACATTTATAGTTCATTTACCTATAGTTGGTTTACAATCCTATTAACTACTTCGTTTTGTCTGACACAAGTCCTATTGGAGTTATGTGAACCCCAACTTAGCGATTTCCTGGCCACGGGGGCACCAGTAAAAGATATCCCATGGGCATCCCAACCAGCGTAGTCCGGTTTCCTGGTCTTATCGCCCGCATCGTTGGGGTTGCTGACCCCTTCGATGATGGTGTTCGCCGGCACCGTCACCTGAGGCATGACATGTTGGGTTCCCGGGCCGAAATTGACCTCCCTGGTGATGCATGGTAATCCCAAGAGTGACAAATAACTATTTAAAAAATGGTAACCATACACAAAATGATAATGAGATAGTTGAACAATGATATATGAACAATAGTAATTAGTATCTAAATATATGGTAATCCCAATAATGTAGTACACATAATGCCATCAACCATCCCCCCAAAACCAGCTAATCTATGATCCCGACTCCTGGTGAGGCCTCCCTTGAAATGATAGCTAGGTTGACTTGTACCGTGGTTTACTACAACTATTGTTTGCGGGGCGTATACACATATATATATATATATACATTAAATACATACATGTCATATATATATACAATCCGCTTGAGGGTAATCCGTGGTTTTTTGGAGTTTCGGAGTTTCGTCTTTTTTCTCGATCAGCTGCACAAAAGCTCTGCTCCTTGCCGCAACATGCAAAATTCTTAAAATAAAATCCTGCAAACTCCATGGTAATGTCACTATAGTAAACAATCTACCGGAACAATTTTGCTGAAATCCCATTTTAACGGATGATGGACTTTCCACATATCCCAGTAATATTGCGCATATTGAAGACACGTATCAACCATTTTGCTAAATTCGAGGGGGATATTCCCAAGTCACATTATTATTGGGATAAACCTCATCATCTTTCCCAGCGGTATAAACGACATCCATGGACCAATGACCAATGGGAAAATCAAAGGCATTTGCAGATGTACATAACCGTATTTTGGTGGAATGATCATCCATAACCATGGTCAATCTTTGGTAACCCACAAAAAAATCATTTGCCGGTTGGCTGGTATTTTTGGTCCTTTTATAACAACAAATGAAAGGATTAGAAGGTACCCATCCTAGATTGGTCATGTAACTAACAGCTAAATCATGCACCACTTGGTAGATGGTTTATCCGGTTATAATCCCATTCTTTACAGTGTTTCATTGGTATCTAATAGTTCCCAACTCAGGATTTCCATCCACAGTAGCTAAGTTGACTGAAAAACCTTGGTTAACTACAAGGGGGTGCCCTCCCGTTACAAGTTGGTTTATAATCCCATTAACTAGTTCAAAACATCTATAAGTCCTAGTGACATTAGAGTTATGTGGCCATCAACTTAGCGATTTCGTGGCCACGGGGGCACCACATTGTATGGTTTAATAAATGATCACTGGCTATATTTTTTTGGGAGATGCCTATCGTTGGTGCTTTTTTTTGAAACAACTTATCGCTGCGGGGCTTCACCAACTTGACCATGGCAAATACGGAATTCATCCCATGAAATGTTGATACAACTGATATATGTTTCTTATTATGTGCTTCTTATGGTTATTCTACTTCCAATGATACATAACCATATACACTTCTTATGGCTATTATATATTTCTTATGGTTATTATATGCTTACAATGATATATAGCCATATAAAAAATCTTGCTCCAGGACACCTGTCGATGGAGGGCGAAGACGCCTGCAGGGAACTTGAAATGTCGTGTGTTGCCAATCTTCTCCTGGGCATTGTCGAGTAGCTTTGCACCTATGGGTTCATCGTTGCAGTTTGTTGGAATGGAACTGAAAAACATCTACAAACACCACGAAAGAACTGCAAGATACTATTTGCCTGGAACATGTTCGACCCCGCTCCCGTGTAGGTTCTTCAAACCTCAGGGTTTTAAACAACCATCCCATGAAAAAATATGGAAAATAGGATCAGCAAAATGCCACCAAATATGTGCACTCATACCGCTGTCGGAATCTAAAACCAGCAACCAGTTCCAGCAAATTCCGATGCCATTCGTAAGGACAATCCTTTTCAACCACTGTGGTTGATCATCATTTGATCGTTACGTCGTTGGTTTGCAATTAAGTTTAAACCGAATGTCCGTTGTTTCATTGGTTACATGTGCTGATAGGAATGGTCTGTCTGGGCTATTCAATTTGAATATGATTTAAGTTGATGTGAATACCTTCCAATCATTCGCTCAAATATCAGGAAAAAACGAGAAATTAATATAAATGATCCCTATATATACAAATGATCCCTATATATATATATCCCAATGTTTCCTTTCCTCACCATCACTTCTGGTATAAAAAATTCACCGTGACTGACAGTCGATCTACAGGAACCAACCTTTTCCTGGGCTCTTCCCCGAATTCCGAAGTGACGACTGGTGAAATCCCAAAGATGGTTGGTTCCTACTTGGTGGCGAACTACCCAGGTTCATCGTGGGCTCGTGGCTTAGTTCACCCCAGCTTTTTGAGTGGAGTAACCCGCTCCAAAAATCCAATGTAAATCACTGTGGTTATAACCCACAACCACGAGCCGTGGGTAGTTCGCCACCAAGTACGAGGCGGGATTTCTTCGCAGGCTGGATCATGCCTTGACATATATTTTCCCCAACACTTTATTAAAACAAACGCACAAACGGAACCCAAACGAACACATTTACTTGACAAACAAAAGGAATTCTCGTGGATACTATGTCTATACTCATTTCGCAACTTTTATAAATTTTCAATACGTTTGTCAATCAAATTCATGCTTCAATAATTTTCCATTTTTTCGTTAAATCCATACAGTTCTAGTTGAGTTCCCAATCCGTTCGGTAAAATCCTTTGAAATTAGACCGGCCCTTTTTCAGCCAACATCTGTTCACCCTTTTTGCCAATGAAATCCTCATTTTCCATGATGAAATCAATTTTTTTTGCGCCATTTTTGCCAATGAAATCCACACGTTTAGTCAGTTTTGTCCATGAAATCCACATGTTCCGATGATTTTTTTCATGAAATCGCATTTTTTCAACAATAATCCACATAAATGTTCCATATTTTCCAGCGATAATTTTTCCCCATGTGGGCTTCACCGGCCATCGCGCCATGTTTTTCACCATAGCGTCACAAGGGATGGGCCCACCTTGCGGACAGCCGTTGCCTTCGATGAGGCGAATCCAGTTCCGTCGATCCTCCGTGGAGTCCTTCTGCAGAAGGCCTCGGGCAGGATGGGTTTGTGGTATGAAGCATAGATAGATAATGGTTAATAATGGTGAATAATGGTTAATAATGGCTAATAATGGCTAATAATGGCTAACCATGATGGGAATTTTAACCATAACTAATTGGTAGATAGATAGGTTCAAATTTCACGAGCTCCTGGGATTTTGTGATTTTTAGGGAATATTGGATATCAGGGTCAAGATGCAATATTTGTTGCAGTATTTGGTGCATATGTATGTATGTAATGTAATGTAATGTCATGTCATGTTATGTCATGTTATGTTATGTTCTGTATGTATAAATACATAGTGAATCATACAATGGTAGATTAACCGATTAACCATATTTATATTTAATGGTATATATATAAATATATATACACCATACATGGTTAATTGGGTTAATTGAAGGGAGGAATGATTGTTGGTTAATTCATCACCATGTATGAATATGTAAATACAATGTATATAATGTAAAGGATACATCGAACTAGTTAATGGTATCTATAGTTATTTGATCACCATATATGAACCATGGTAGATATATTGAACTAGTTAATGGGATTATAAACCCAACTTACAACTGGGGAGGCACCACCTTGTAGTTAACCAAGGTATAAGTCAACTTAGCTACTGTGGATGGTGGCGAAATCCTGCACCAGTTGGTAGATGGTTGAAATCCCATGATAATCCTATTATTTACAGTGTTTTATAGTTACCAATAGCTACCAACTGGTGCAGAATTTCTTCCATCCACAGTATGACTAAATTATATACCAATGATGGATACATCATAAGGAATCCATGAGTATATGAATCTAATCATAAATTTGTACCAATATATACCATATGTTTTTAGCCACGGGTTTAATGGTTGTGTTTAATGGTGGATACATTTATTACCATTAATTAATAGTAGCAATGGAGGTATGATTAATATACCAATAATAATCTATCTATGCAATGGTATGATTATTAATGGCGATGTGTGTTCAATATCTATGAAATACCAATTAATACCAATAATAACCAAGACAATCATCACCATCACCATCTATCTGAACAAGTTATCATATTTCACTGACCTGAAATAAGACTATATTGGGACAATCAGCTTACTAAGCATCATTCCAGTGAGGTCACGGTGAGGTCAGTATAATTCAGCTTACCCAAATGAATCTTATTTATCCATCTGAGTCTGACTATTTGTCTATGTCTCTAACTAGTTGTCTATCTACCGATTTATCCATCTATCTTTAGAAACATAGAGCATGTATTTACTACTGTTTTTGTAGGACTTTAATTTTCTATTTTTTTGGTTGCAATAGTACTACTTCTACTACTGCATGCTAACCAATAAATAATCTGGAAATATCCTAATTCCCTAATCTGAAACAATGACAAATAAGGCCATTTGAGGATGATTCCCTTAACTGTTCGCCATCATTCGACATCACAGTGAGGTTGTCAAAATCTATCCACTGCTACGGTCCACCTCCCAGTCCGCTTCGGATATCGTGCCTAGCGCACAGCTGCCTTCAGCGCATTCATCATCCAGGGCGGCCACATTGATTTCTTCGTCGGCCAAAGGGCTGGCCACCTGGTTGGATAATAAACTTGAGTTTCAAAATTTTCATAGACAGGGTTAAGCATTATAATCATAAAAATGGATGCAACCTTCTTCAAGGTTGCTCAACACCCCACAGAGGTTAGGCAGGAAACTCGGTAGATACAGGGGTAGAATGTACAATCTCCGGCCCTTGTGGCTATCATTTCCCTAAAATGGGCTGCAGCAACCCCTCTTTTGGGGTTCTATCTTTAGAGTCAATTCTTTCTGATGTTGAATTCATGGTAGAATGTTTTATTGATTTGGTAGGGTTTTTCACAACATGAATTGTTGGTATCCTGATGGTTGATCTGGAAAGACCGAGGCACATCGAACACAACATGGCTACCCTTAGAGCAGCTTATTTTGTGACATTTTCTGCTTGATGAATCCCGGCAGATGAAGATATTTTTTGGGGTTGGAGCATGTTGAACATCAAAAACACGAAGCCAAAAGCAAAAAAAAACTGTGATTTAAGAAGATAACACATATATTGGGCACATATTGAAACCACTGACTGGAAAACATATTGTCTTTGAACGGTGGATTTAAGGGCGCTTTGGTTTTCGAATGTTAATCTTCGAAGAGTCGGATTGAGAACTTGGTGACAGGATGGCAACCCTTTGCAACTTGAGATCACAGGGAGGTTTCTTGAGTCATGGATCCCCAAGTCACTATGGTTTCAATATGTTTCAATACTAAGTCATGGTCGTTCATGACTTGCATCATTTGGGGTACCACCCATTTTTGGAAAGCTCTACATAACATGGAACCAAGTTGTGTTTCCACGCCAAAGTGAGTACATTTTCTGGCAAGCGCTTTGGCACATGACAAACAAAAACATCCCCAATGCACCCGATCTGATGTTTGACTGGGGGATTCAAGCGCGTCGGCCCAGCCACCAAAAGACTACAAAGGAATGCCAGCTTGGACATGCTGCCCATGGCCACTTGGGCAAAACGACTTTTCCTGAACGAGTCGACAAAAAAGGGGACGTTTCTCTTTAACAAAGTTTATTGGTTGGTGCTTGGGCTATCTGAAAAAGATGGTCGTCATTGGCAGTCATCAAACAGAAGACAAAGAAACCCTATGAAACCAGCAACTCTTGTGGTAAACCAAGACTGATGCGGCAGGGAAAAGGCTTGTTGTTTCCTAGCGTTGTGCACCTACCCTGGTTTCGAGGCTTGGATTTCGAGGCACCACACAATATCCACACATTTCCAAAAGAACGATGTGACAGTGAAGATATTTGTCCTGCACTGAGCAGCCCTACATGCTCTATGATCAGATTGTTGGGCAACCCGAAGGAATTCCCTGTGAAAAAATGCTCTGTTCACCCGCAATCGAGTGCCCCTGCCCTAACGCCCACAATGAGGGTCTGTTTCACCCAGTGGTTTTCGTAGCACACTAGACCTTCAGATGCAACCCCAACATACGTGTGATTGCGATTCATGAAATCTATGGACGGTACAGTATCACTTTTTCCCGTCCTACGCCCGAAATGACCGCCATGAAATGAGTACGAGCTATCCAGAAAAAGATTACCATGGACTGCTTGCTATCAATTTCACCCACATGTTTATTGGTTTTCGGAAAAACCGTTGAGCAGGTGGGTCATGAACACTGATGGATGTCTAAAAAGTTTGCTAAATCGATTATCTATTCGTCTGGGTGGCTTTCCAGCACGATCACCGTTCATTCGAATTTTCGACTCAATGATTGTGGGCCGCCCCTTCCCAATTTTGTTTAAAACATTTACTTATCCCAATTCTTCATTGGCTGTACTTCAAACAGGGCCCCCAAAATTCGAGATACCAATGGGAGGGGAAACTGGGTTGATAAAGAGGCAAGAATGACCAATTTCTCCCCTTTGCGGCGTTGGAGCAACCCTTGAAAACAAACCAGAGTTTCCCCTACTCAGGGCTTGTTTATCGTTGGTTAACTGAGGGTATTGCGTAGTTATAGTCCATACCCTCCCAATAAGATCAGAACCTTCACTGTCGCCACCAAGGCTCACAACGAAAGAGGGAGCCACCCAGCAAAAGGAGTAGCAGCTGAGAAGCCCAAACGGCAGATCAATTGCAACTCCGAAAGCGCAATGTTGGGTGGCTTTGGATTGTCAAGTTGATGTTAGTTGATACAAAGTGGGGCCCCCAAACGACATCGCTAAGTTGGTTCATAACTCCAATAACTATGGTTTATGGTACTTATAACTATAGTTAGTGGGAATTATAAACCAACTTATAACTGGGGGACCCCACATTGTAGTAATTCATATTCAATGAAACGGACTATATAATTGAAACTACCGTCAGAAGTGAAACAGGCATCGCCAAGGAAAACCATCAAACAGAGAGTCACAGCTATTTTGGCTCACCCATCAAAGTTATACCCCAGCTGTTTATTATTTTACAATAATGTCATAATGTCCTTTTGGTTAAAATAGAGGGGCCTGTTTGGTATACCATCTATCATCATTTACCTGTTGTTAAAGGGGTAAACAACCCCCTCTAGTAATCAACCAACCAATGGGAAAAGGGCAACATTGGTTCGGCTGCAAACGGTTTGGGCCGACAGGCCGACATTTTGTGCGACCCCGAAGCTTTTTGTGTAGTTCACGCTGACCGCTCGGATTGCTGGCATTTGTTTGCTGGAACTTATGCTTCACAAAAGGACGGCCGAAAAAGGTACAAAAACGAGCAGAATTCAACAGGAACAAGTACAACTGATTTCTCACTAAAACTTGAACATACATATAACATGACTTGACCATGGACAGATCCGCCAAGCTATTACTTCCCATGAGGTGCCACAAACCACACTGAAGGCGCGCCAAGCGACATACATTGTACCCTGAGCATCCACCTTAAGATGTGAAGCGAGGGTTGACTTGGCGGTTGGAACTTGAACAAACAAATATCGATTTGGGCGCTTCTTAAAATCTTGGAGCCTTCAAAACTGAGTTCTTTTTCTCCTTTGGTGTCCCCAATTGAGTCCTTCAGCTTCTTCTGATCTCAGGTGACATGACTCCTTTCTAGTTGACTGTGCACTTTACAGTTTCATTGCGCAATTACACGCGACGCCCCAATTGTCAAGAAACATGAACCTTGCACTGCTGAGACGCATCTTTTTCCCCATGGCAAACCAACAAGCCCATTGACCTACCAAGCACATGCTGACCCAGACTGGGTGCCATAGTTTACAGCAGCCAAGTAAATTGGCAATTGTGCCAGTTGAACAGTGTTCGAAACCCGCAAATGTCATCGCTTTATACTCATTGGTTGAGTGGGCGTTCCCATACTGGGCCATAATCATTCCCAATCCTTTTTTTTCGTATATATTGGGCCATATTCCATTCCATAATTCCAACCAACCTATTGGGCCATATCATTCCCAATCCATTTTATTGGGCTATATCTTTCCCAATATATTGGGGTATACCTCCTACAATAAGCAAAATCATCAGCCAACTGCCATTCATTAACTACGTTCCCGTACAAGGTGGTGCCCCATAGTTAGCTAAGTTGGTTTATAACTCCCATAACTATGGTTTATGGCAGATATAGCTATAGTTAATAGGGGTTATAAACCAACTTATAACTGGGGGACACCATCCTGTACTTGGTGGTTATAAATAACAGGTTCAAGTTCCAGAAACAGCTACATTCCCACGTAGGAATAATATTCATCAAAGCAATGGCGATCAGAATAAACTCAAAACGACAACAACATACATTGTTTGACTTGGTATATAGACAACTACTGGTTGGTGGTTTCAACCCCTCTGAAAAATATGAAAATCAGTTGGGATGATTAAATTCCCAATATATGGACAACATGTTCCAAACCACCAACCAGTAACTAGTATCATAAACCCAAGTGAGTTATTGGAGTTCTGTGGCTGCGATTTGGCTCATTGGAACACCACCTTGCAATGTTCATCACCAGGCGCCCGCGCTTGGGCAGCATGCTCGTAGCGTGCGGCCCAATGGGCCACAGGCGTTACTTCTTCCCATGAACGACCTGTATCCGCTGATCAAACATGGGAAATTCCCTTTGAATGGGCATTGAAACAGGAAATTCATGGAACCACACGGGGGATTTTCCAGCAAAGAACTGTTTGGTTACCAGAGGTTACGGGACAATCTGGGGGTGAAACACACCACAAGTGGCATAAAAACCATATGTCTTGGTTCCCAAAAACCGTCATGCGCGTGTTATTTTGCAGTTGTGACACGTGGCACACATCCGGTCCGTGTCCCAAGATTGTGGATTCACCAGGCGGTGGGGGAGAGGTTGGTTGTTGTGAATCCCAGATGGCAGAGCGAATCCACTGATGGACCGAAAGGTGGTTGGAATGTCGAACTCTCCCTCTCTCTGTCCATCTATCCTTCCATCCATCTATCTATCCTTCTTTTCTGTCTACTGATCTACCTATCTATCAACCTATCCTTCCATCCATCTGCTTAGCTCTCTATCTGTCTTTGCAGCCGTCCATCCATCATCCTATTTTGTCTATGTGTCCATCTGTCTATCTTTCTTTCTATTTCTCTCTTTCGAGATCTGTCCATTTCCTCATCTCTCCATCTGTCTGTCTACACAGTTCGACAGCAAGCCGGTGACACTTGCACAGAAAAGAAACAGAGCGAACAGACCCGGGTTTCAGTTCTGGTGTAACTTACAAAACTTAAAATGTGAGACATCGCTCCTTGCTTCTGCCCCTGCATTCGCATAGTTCCACCAAATAACAAGCAGAAGACATACAACCAACAGCAACATCCACACCTAAACTGCAATCATGTTGACTGACATGTCTGTCCCCTGTAGCTCACCAGTTTCATCAACAATTCCAAGACATAGACTTTTTATAGTTCTGCTTGCAAATTTCCATGAAAATGGAAGTGTAATTAAGACAGCGTCAAAAACGAAGCAAGTCTGCTACACCTGCTAAATTTCTAAACTTGACAAGATCGAAAACGCTGCAATTCTATCAGATTTCCTCAAAGTTTTACCTTGAAACGTCAAAACGCAGGAATTCTGCGAGACTTCCTCAAGGTTTGAACGTGGCAACGTCAAAAACGAAGCAATTCTGCAAGACATCCTTTATTTTGTAACGTGACAACGTCAAAAACGAAGCTATTCTGCGAGACTTCTTCATTTTTCAAACTTGACAACACCAAAAACGAAGCAATCGTGCGAGACTTCCTTCAAAAATGGAAAGTTGAGTGCAGAGCTGACGGCCTCGTACCAATGTGTTCTGTGATTTTTACATTCCATCTGTCTGAAGTACTGCGCCTGCCATGAAAAAGTGATGCCCGGTCATGCGAAGTGCTGCGCCTGTCACGCAAAATCATTCTAGCAAACCTGAAGATCTGATGATTTCAAATGCAACACCTCTCAGGAAAGCAGCGCCCTGACCTCCTGACATCTCTGATGAACATGTCTTTTGTACCGCGCCTGCCACGCGAAATGCATCTTTGCCAGATCCTCTTCAAATGTTCTACGCCTGCCATCGTTTTTGGAATGCTACAAAACCTCACGCTTTGCTTACTTTTGGCAAAATGCAGAATCCCTTGCGCCTGCCACGCAAAAGCCACATCTGAACCTTCAAAAATGATCCGAGCATGTGGTGTTTTAAACATTTTGACTTGGACATGTGCTTCGCGCCACAACGGCGAGCACTTTTTCGACATCTCAACTTCCAAAAGTACTCCGAACCTGGTGTGCTTTGTGCATTTTGACTTGGACATGTGCTTCGCCACAGCGGCGTCCACTTTTTCGACATCTCAACTTCCAAAAGTGGTCCGAGCAAGATGTGTTTTGTACATTTTGACTTGCAAATCTGCTTCGCGCCACAACGGCGTGCACTGTTTCGACATCTCAACTTCCAAAAGTGCTCCGATGCTGAGGTGTTTTTTGCATTTTGACTTTGAAATGTGGTTTG